GGCTAATTTTTTACCGCCTTTTCTAGGAACTCGTAAAAGATACGACACGTTTGGCCGTTTGGGGTTAGTGAGACAATGAGGTCCGATGCAAATGTTCTATTTGTTCTATCAAAATTGTGAAATTATTCGGAGTCGTTATCAAGATATTCAAAGAATTACTTTGAAAGAAAAAGCTTATCATGTAGTGAAACTCGTGTAGCTGGAGATCCTTTGTTGCTGCCCCAAATGCCAGCTGATGGCGTAACGGGTAGTAAGTAAGTAGGCCTAAGTAGTAAAACTCGAAACATTTTTGACGTTACATTTTTCAAAACTACGAAGGCCTACTTAACGGAGCAGATAGGACTTTGTAATTATTTTAAGGTAGCGACTACTCCGTAATCTGACTCCCCATGCTGTATCGATACCGGCCGGCGCTGGCCGCGGTGCACGGAAATGATGACGGATGAAATGTGGGCTGTGGGGAGACACTCATGTATCACACCAGATATCCGCTCTGGCAGGCAGACCGCACGCACTGCTATGTGCAATCATACACACGACATCACACACACACACACACACACACACACACACACACACACACACACACACACACACACACACACAATCACACACAAATTTATGTTCTAAGCAGTAGTAGTCTGGTACCAACTGCCCCAAAAGCTAATCTTAGACATACGAGATCTTGGCCATAGACTTGAATTATGATATCTACGACGGGGCATTTTGACGTAATTTCGACTCACTTTGGAAGGTACCATTTGACTCTGTTTCTCTATTTTTGGAACCTTACGAAAGGCAAGGAGGGAGAGGTTGTGCACACTCGACGACTATTAATTATCGAGACTGGTGTTTTGCCCTTCCTTTGCACACCCATGTTGCGCACCAGCACAGTAAAGTTTTTATAGAGAGCAAAGAGCATCAGTGAAGACAGTAAACTCAGAGTTCGCAAAACTCTCGGTTATACAGAGTATAACATTAATTTGTAATGCGATTGCAGCTCGCACTTTTTGCGTATTTACATGTGTTGGTAGGCCTACTTTTCTAGTACATTCCCACGTTTATAGCACATTCAAGTACACTGCACTGGACCCTTAAAACAATCTTTAATTTGATTATTTATAAATAAAACTGTCAAAGACTGGCGTGTGGCATTTTAGAATTAATTGGGTTTACTTCATCTTCTAAGCCCTCAAAGAATACAAGTATTATCGAGGCTCGAAGTACCAAACCACACCGCACCGCGCGTAAATTTTATTCCTCATGAAGACGAGATTCCAACCTAAAACCACTACCACAAAGAGATACTGACCTTTATCATATAATGCCTTGTTGACCACGTCAGCTACTTTAGGTCCATTTAACTGAATCTGTTTCACGCCATGCAAAAAAATCCTCTCATACCAGGGCATAGCAATAGCAAAATTATGAAGACTTATGGGGCTTATTCATTTTTTTCAATAAGAGTTTTACGGCACTTGCTACACAATAAGGTCATATAAGTGTCGGAAATTAGTGGTGATCCAAGGGAGTAACAAACATATAAAAGAAGGAGGAGTCATACGGACGATAGATGTTTGATAGGGAATGATCGAAGAGCAAACCACACCAGAGCACCAACAAGCACCAACTGTATTATTACCGAACAATTCATTGACCTGTACCACACCGTATAACAAATATATCAAAGACTGCCCGCCTTTACGTAATTCCGATTCACCTTCGAGTACCTTGTTTGACTCTATTTGGAACCAAATGAATAGAGAGGAGGGAAATGTTGCATGAGCACCTGGTGTTTAGCCCTTCATATGCTGCCCATGATGTGCACCTGTCCTGCAAAATTTTTATAAAGAGCGAAGGACGGCAGCCACGACTGTGTCCCATCTATAATAATATAAATATTTATAAGTCAATAAAGCGGAAAGCGGCCACGAACAAACGCTTTCCGCTTTTCTCTATCCTGGGCTAGCCTTTTGATGGTATTCCAAGTACATGTATTCCCACTTTTCTGTACATCAATTTCAGTAACTGTTCTAACTGCTTCCACATGGTGCTTATCATCCTCTCCAGAATACTTGATTATTGACTTATAAGTTTCTAAGCCGAGTAGATCTTGCGGCCAAGCCTACATGTTATGAACGTACTTATTATTTTTATTATGTCCCAGCTGATCAGCAGACCTTGAGCCGTGTTGTAACACATTTTTTAAAGCCATGATACTCAAATCAGAAACAAGAATTTGCATACAATAGAACCTGCTCCAACGGCCTCCTGTTTAAGATAATCACCTGCACAAACGGCTCTTCTCAATTCCCCCTTGCGGTTCTTTATAAACACAATGGTACTGTGCAAGACGTCACTTTTCTAAGAAAGTTATTCTTCCCCTTGACATTGCGTGCACGTTTAGAACAATTTTAACAGTATTTTTTATAGTCAGCATAATGTTATAGCTTGGCTTCTTAAATTTCAGATCAAGAAAATAGAATTGAAACCTCAATTCCTGCTTCCTCTCTCACTGACACAAAGCAGAGCGTTTAGGGGGCTCTCGTAGTCTCGAGGTAAGGTGTTTGCCTCTCATTCCGTAGGTCCCGGGTTTGAAAACTGATAGCGACGGAAGATTTTCTTCTCTTTAAAAATTCTCCTTTCACCATCCCTGCTCTCTAATCATGCTCTATCGTTTGCTTTCGTCTCCACTTTCTGCTCCACCCACTCACCTCCTTTGCCCACTCCTCTGGGCTCCTGACTCTTTCTGCTTCATTTCTACAGCCATTCCTTTGGTCCTTCTCTGCTGTCTTTCAGCCAAACCCCTGATCTTATGGTAGGTAATATCTAACACCTAGCCTTCCCGGATAAGGGCAGAAAAATCTCAGAGGTCTCGAGTGCAAGTTGCGAAACGTTAACCCTATCCGTACGCCCTGGGGTAATTTTGTACTCCCGGAGGCTGTATTCTTCGCATTTAATTTTTTAGAATACTTCTAGTACGATCTCTTTGAAACTTTCAGTATTTATCAAAAAATCATTATGACAGACTGCTATGCAATGCGTACGGATCGGATTAACGAGTAAATTTCCTCTTGGGAAAGAGGTGGCTCAGAGTTCCCCACGCCGTATGGATACGATAGTAAAACACTACGTACGAATAGGGTTAAAGATTCCTTTCTGGTCCTAAAATCGATAAGAGTAGGCTTTGGCCGCCACCCGGGCAAAATTCAAAATTAATTCGTACCAAGCTGAAATTGCTTAACGTGTCCCCCGCGCTCATATGACTTTGTACACCTACGAGAGCCCTAGTTACACCCACCCACTCACGCACCCTCGCACCCACCCCACCCCCACCCACGTATGCACACACACAAAACAA